AAAAAAAAAAAAAAAAAAGATAGTAGCAGAAAGGAATCAGAAATGACTCAAACATATAAACAGACGCTCAATATTATTTACCACGAGCCAGGCACATTAGCCTGCTGTTGACGGCAGTCTTTTCGGACTGGACTGGCAAAGGCAGAAGAGCCTGGCCGACAGACCGGCGGCCAAGGACATGCGGACTGAGACGCCTTCGCGGTGGTACCAGCACAGACCCTGCAATGACAGTTCAGCAAAGTATGCAGCAACACAGGCCGCACCTACCCTTAACCTAACAAGATGCTTTTCTTCTTCCAAGAATTGAGCTGTGGCTACATCTAAACACACAGAGAAACATGTCTGTGCGGGGTTATTCGTTATAGTATTGTTTATGTCATAATAAAAGACTGGAACTAACTTACAGCCCTCCTATACAGGACTGGGAAGTGAATGATGCTGCAGCTTTACAAGAGAATGCTGCACCCAGTCGTTCCGTACAAGGAAATATAAGACGGTGTACTTGTCCCTACGGCTAATAACCGCAAAGTCCACTACTAACTCAGAAAAGCTCGGCATTAAAAAACAGAGTGAGAGATCATGTCACATGTGTACAAGGCGTTTCTGGATGGATACACAAGAAACCGGTGGTAGCGCTGGGGATTAGCTCAGTGGCTCCGCTGCCTGCCTCGAAGCACGAGGACCCAAATTCGATCCCCAGTACCAAAGAAGAAAAGAAAAGAAAGTAACGGCTGGCTCTGGGAATGGAAACTGGAGGCAGAGACGAGTGTAAGAGTTGCCACTGATATCCTTTGTGCCTTTCAAACTGCTACCAAATACATATGTGACTGTCTAAGTCTAATTAAAATATACAGGGCTGGAGATGTGGCTCAGTGGCAGAGAGCTTGCCTAGCATGGGCGAAGCCTGATTCAATCCTCAGTACAGAAAAAAGAAAGAAAAGACAATAGAATCTGCTCAAACGAAATGGTCTGTCTTGCACTGTCCAACAGAGTAGCCAAATCTGAAATGCATTCTTCAGCTACCCTAGCCACGCTGTGAGCGCTCCACAGTGAAGAGAGGCTCGTGGCCATCACACGGAGGGACGAAGGTCTAGAACATTGTAACACCAAGTTCCTGGCTGATCCTGGACCCTGTACTAGTTTGAAAGGCAACAAAGGACAGCCATCACACTGTAGTTTCTCGTGAGAGAAGAAACAGAAGCATGAACACTGGTAGGCAACAATCCCTCCACCTCCACAGATCAGCAGCATGAGCTGGCTGATAAGATCAGATCTGAAGGTTGGGAGCACTGGGCAGAGGAGTAGAGAGAGCTGGAAAGCCCTCTGGCCTGATTCTGGGGCGGCGGCAGTCAGTGGCGGGAAGGGCAGGCAGATCAGCAAGGGGCTCAGCCAGGACAGGGCAGGAGCTTGTGCATCCCATGGCACGGCTTTCAGAAAAGCAAACCGGCCAGGAAGAAAGGCAATGAAACCTGTGCCGCAAGTCTTGACCTGGTGGAGCATTTTTTAAAACATCAGACTTTTGGGCTGAGATGTGGGCTGGGATAGTCTGAAATAACCACCTGCTGAAAATCGTATTGAAGACAGGCCACAATGCTGAAATGTAAGCCGGTCTCCCGCTGGTTAAAACAGAAGCATAAAGCCACTCGACCCTGTACCTGCAAAGACTGCACATACAGACTTCAGATTCTGGGGGAGCCCACAGTGAGCTTTCCTCCTCCTCAAAGCAAAGCGCTACAAAGAATATTACATAAGGATTGCTTTTCATGTAACTAAAAGGAATTAAAATAGTCCTGTGTATGGTGTGCTATAACAGGCCTAAAATAGAACTTGGGTAATCAAAAACATTCTGCTACCTAAACCTGCACTCGTAAATCAAAGGAATAGTTAGGAGATTAGAGAAGGTTTTATATCTTAAAATAAAGGGAAGCTGGTCTATAATATTTTCTAACTTCAGGGACAAAGCTGGTATGAAGCAAAAATAAAAGGAAGCCTTTTAATAAGCAGCAGCAAGATTTAAGGGGTCAGTATTTTAGGAGGACATTTCTGGCTTCCAGCAGGCACCAAGCCTAGGGTTCTCTCCCTTTTAATCAGAATCCTCCCTCTCCCCTCCCTCCCCCCATTAAGGTGCTAGGAAATCGAGCACAAGGGTGATGTGGTGAAGCCATATTTGGAATTTCATAGTTCAGAGTGAGACATGGTTTTGTTTGGAACTCCAGCCAAGTGAATAAAACAAAAATCAAAATCATCTATTTTAAAAGTAAACATAGAACGAAAACTCCTTCCGATTAATACTTGGTTATCAAGGTGTTATCATGAAGAGGCCACTTCTGGCAAAATGTATCTTTGAGCTTCATTTGATTCTCAAGAGTCTTTCCATCCTCTGACTTCTCAAACCTCTGTGCCCTGAAGGGGTGCTCATTCCTTCTCAGCTGGTGACGGCCCCACACCGCCACAT